CCCCAAAACCCCAAAACCCCAAAACCCCTCAAGAATTCTTATTTATTGATATACTTAAATTAAGATGGAGTATAATTCAAAAAGAAACAAGAAAATAACTGGTAGTTCAAGATCAAAGAGCCATTCGAATCATCCCAAATCTGGTATGTTTGAGACCTTCCTTATTAAACAACCATAAAACTTCCTTGAGGAGATTTATTGTCAAGGTTTGAACTTTAAGCCATAAATTTGCTAAGAAACCTCTTCAAAGATACCATATATTACAATCTTTATTACGAATAATATCCGATTGCTTCTCATACATATGAAGCCGATTTCCAGATCTCATTTTTTGCTGCTTCTTGATAAGCTTAAGTAATTTCACTAGGAAAATGCAAGTATTTAAATATTTGAAAATATGAAAAATTACAGTTTCTTCTAAAAGTTATCAGCCCATATTTTAAAAGTTTAGAAGTTAAGTCTAGAATTCCTGTTGTAGATAGTTCAACTTAAGATATCTAACTTCTTCATGAGATACCAATATGAGAATTAGTCCTATGCCAAAAATAGAAAGATTTAGTAATTAATATTTTAAATAGCTGAAGAAGGAAAAGGAGAATATGCAACTATATCTGCAAAGTAAGAATATTGCACCTTTATTATATTATTCCCTAAATTTTCACGTTAACAATTTCCTTAGCTCTTCTTCTGGTCAGAATGCTGCCCTACAAAGATTGCATCTGCTTCAGAGACAAGGAAGGAAAGAATGGAAAGGGATCCGATCAGAATGTGTTGGTCGACCTGGAACATGTACTCTTTTAAATCGGCAAAGATTCTTTCCCCAAACTGATCTTCAGAAAGAAAATGATAGACAAAATAAAATGCTCCATTGGGTTTTTAAGAAACTTCAAGAGCTTGATTTTAATAGAAAGAAAAATGATGGAGCAAGAAATAGAACAATGAGTCCAATATCTAAGACAAACTCAAGTATGACTACTGCGGGAGCAAATTCCACTGCAACAAGATTTGGGAAAGCAGATGGAATTGTGTTTGGATCAACTAAGCAGCCTAAAATACCCTCTGTAAAGCCTTATCAAGAGTTTGTAACTTTCAAACCTATAAAAGAACACCAAGTAGTGAGTGGTCCACTGTCGTCTTATTTATTCTCAAGAGGATTCTGCACTGATTATACAGAGCTTTCATATAAACTTTTAAAATGTGAATCAAGATTAATGAGATCAACACTTGAATCTCTTGGGTTCAATTATACTGAGTCGCATGACTGGAATATACTGTGGATTTCTTCATCCACAAAGCCCTATCTTTATGATGGGCTGAATGAGTATCAAAAGATAAACCATTTTCCAGCAAGTTCTGAAATTACCAGAAAGGATAAGCTTTGAATAAACTTACTTAAAATTCAAGAAAAGTTTGGAAAGGATAATTTTCACATAGCTCCTGATACTTATCTCTTACCAGATGAATTCGCTGATTTCTATGAAGAATACCAAAAGATGAGAAATAGTGAGCCCAGAAAACCATTGTGGGTTATCAAGCCAAATGCATCATCTCAGGGAAAAGGGATCTATTTGATAGATGATGTTAATGAAATAAACCTGGATGATTCATGTGTCATTAGTAAATACATCCCTAATCCTCTTCTGATTAATGGGCATAAATTCGACCTAAGAATTTATGTGTTAGTCACTTCATGGGACCCACTCAGGGTTTATGTTTACAAGGAAGGACTCACTAGATTTGCTAGCGAGGAATTCTCAACTTCAAGCAATAAGAAAAGCAGATTTATCCACTTGACAAATTATTCCTTGAATAAGAAGAATGCAAATTGGAAGACAAATGAGGATTCTCAAAGAGATGATTTTGGGTTCAAGTGGTCAATTACAGCTTTGTGTCAACACCTCGAGCGAATTGGTATTGACATGGACCTTCTCTGGTCAAAAATATATGATGTAATCATTAAGTCCTTCGTTTTAGGAGAAACTCCGATTATTAACTCTATGAAAAGGAACTGATCTTATCGTACAAATTGATTCGAACTGTATGGATTTGACATACTCATCGACTCAGATCTTAAGCCATGGCTGATAGAGATAAACCTTTCTCCTTCTTTATCAGCAGACTCTCCATTAGATTTTAAGATAAAGACAAACTTAATATCAGATACTTTGAATTTAGTTGGACTCATGAAGTTTGATAGGAAAAAGGAAAAAGGAAAACATAAAGAAGATGAAGAGTAGAGTAAAAGGCATTTATAAAGGTATTTTCTTTGACAAATCAGATTACTATTTACTCGTAATTATATCTTTTGTCTATAAAGCCTCGGATCCAAAACATATGAAAAGTTAAATCGGATAGACTGCTAGTTATACAACCCTACATGGATTTGTAATATTAAAATATCGAGAAGGAAAGTTAGACCAGCAAATATCCGGAAAAATATTTCCAAAGCACTAGAGTTTGGAATATAAATATCACCATAAGCAAACCTCGCCTTTTAGAGCTAATCTATGTTAGCAACTACTATTTTATTTTCTAATCTGACCTCCAGGATTATTGGAAAAGACTTTAAAGAAATTATGGGTAAATTATTAATTAGAGATCACTGTCATAGGAAACTTTAACCTAATAATAAGCCGAGAATTATTTAGAACCTTATTAGAAGACATTTAAAGCCTGGTCATATTCTATAAAGTACGAAATAGAGAATCAAATTATTTTCCGAGAGTGTTCAGTCCAAATAAAGCTGCTTTACTCTATTGGAATGACAAATTAGATTTAACAGATCTACTTTTAATATGCTGGTGTTGTCAATATGGATTAGCATAATAGTGTCATCCAGGATAGATGATTCTCATCTTCTTTTAAACTTTTAAAACTCTGGGTGTATTCCCATGCTTCGGCTCCTTCTGAGAGGCTGAATTAAAATTTGATTTTATATTTTATTCATAAGATTTAATGATCTTTAGGAAAAGCTGGCTACACCACAAAAACAGGAGGCTCTAACTTGAAAGGGCTATTCTCAGAAGAAACTGAAGATGGAATAAAATTATCAAATATTTCTAAAGAACTCAAAGGATCTATCAATGAATTAGATTGAACTCAAGAGCTGAGAGATATGATGATCAAACTTGCAAGTTTGAAGAATAAAGAATTAATCAAAGAGACTGTTAGTGAATATGAAAGGAGGGGTAATTATGTAAGAATTTTTCCTGCTCCTGGCTCTGATGAGTACATCAAGTACTTTCAATACCAAAAAACCATAAATAAATACTTGTACAAAGTATTATTCAATAAGAAACTAGTTTTGAGAGAAGATATTGCAGAGACACCTCAGTATAAATTGAACTATGAAGTTCCTAAGTTATCATCATATCAGCAGGTCAGAGAGGAGAGCAAGAGGATGCCTAGCTCGAAAACTGGAATCAGTGAAGCAAGTACCTCTGATGAATCAAACAAACTTCCAAAATTAATGAAAAAGAAACAAGAAAACAGTAAAATGGCAATTACAGAGGATGATGTGCTAATTGAGTATGTGTCAAGATTGGTAGAAATATGAAATACAGTCAAAGAAATAGACATCAACCAAAAGCTAATGATAAATAAATTTATTGAGCATTATGTGTGGGCTAATCCTGACTCAAAAGAAGTCCCTTTGAAGGAGAGAATAGTAAACCGATACAATGAGATGATATCAAGAAGGAAAGATTTGCTAAAATAGGTACTCGCTTTAATAATTCCAATTCTCAATGCTACGCTTGTAATATCAAAGATTATCTTAATATCCTATTCTTTATATAGTAATGAATCTATCTCAGGAAAGCTCTCTTAATTAGGGTGCTCTGTTACCTCTCCTTTCGGTGTCAATCATCTACGAATTACTATTGAATATAGCATGATAGAGAAAGAAATATTTGATAAGGATTTATCCAACAGCCAGGGATCAAAATCAGTAGATACTTTAGTAGAAGAAAGGGAAACACAGAAAAGGAATATATTACAACAGTTTACAATTAAATAATTTAGAAGAAATGCTGACAATGAATTCTCCTTCAGTTAGGAATGAAACACAGAGGCTTAACAGAAGCTCAGATGATAGAAGATCTAGGAAGAATGGAGTAAAGAATGTAGCACGAGACGTCATCAATACTTTGGTTCCTTCTGGAAAATATGGAATTTTGAATCTTTTGGACACAAGCAATAAAGGAAATAAAGGAAACGATAAGAAGAGCTTTGAGATTAGAAGAAGGAAAAAATTTATAAGAAATTTAAAGAAATAATTATAAGCAATAAAAGCATTAATACTATCTAAAAGATAATATAAAAATAAATAGTAAAAATTTCAACAATATAAACCCACTCTGGGGTTTTGGGGTTTTGGGGTTTTGGGGTTTTGGGG